AGGACGCCCAGGAAACACCCGGATGTTTTGATGTTTTACCATCCTTGTGGGAGGCTTTTCTCATGTCCCCGCATGGGGAGCTGGAGCTGACAGAGGGAGCTCATTCTTGCTCTCTCTGGATTTGAACCTTCAACTTGTCGGTCTTCAGTCATGCCGACACAAGGGTTTAACCCATAGCGCCACTGGGGGCTCCCATGAATGAAAGCCTGTAGTATTTACGTATATTCAACTTGTTTTTTTTTTTAAAAAAATTGAATAGGCAGATTAAATAGAATTATATAACATTTCTTTCACGATATAAATTATTATATCAATTAATTAGTAAGGTGTTCAGAAGCGTGAATGAAAAAAGAACCCGCACCACAGCTATTTGTGTGTATCTTTGTTTATTTACAACATCTCTTTGAAATTTATCTCCATTCCTTTATCTTACAAGGACACTTCAGTGCAAAACAACTGCGGTTGGGAAAAATGCTGAAGTTGAGACTTGACTAATCCTGGGAAACACTCAATTGTGTCATTTTCTTCTTTAAATACAAGATCTAGAGCCATTGGCCTTAAAGCAAAAAAGGTATTACTAGCCCTGTTCAAGACTCAGGGCCCTTCCAGACAGGCATATAACCCAGAATATCATGGCAGAACAACCCACAATATCTCCTTTGAACTGGGTTATCTGAGTCCACACTGCCATATATTCCAATTCAAAGCAGATAATGTGGCTGAGTGGAAGGGGCCTCATTTGCCATGGTCTACAGCAGAGGTTCTCAACCTGTGAATCCCCAGATGTTTTGGCCTTCAACTCTCAGATAACCTAACAGCTGGTAAACTGGCTGGGATTTCTGGGAGTTGTAGGCCAAAACACCTGGGGACTCACAGGTTGAGAACCACTAGTCTACAGATAAGGGATCATAATGAACATTCAAGTTTAGGATTATTTACTGATAGAGAACAATTGGTTCAGTGATAGATTTGAAACGAAACTGCACATAAATTCAAAATTTGGCAGCATTTTGCAAACCAAACCCCATCCTTTCTCATTTTTCCTTTTAAGATTGGACATAGTAAAATACATGAAAAAGACCAAACTCCTCTTGCGAAATTTTAAGGCAAAACTATGTTCGACCTCCTACTTTTAATACTTGTGTAAGGCGCTGGGAGGCATCTAGAGCTGAGGTTCATAGCAGGAACTTTACTCCTGGAAGTTTTACTAGGGCTCTACTTTCACTGCTGGTCTGGAAAATTGAGCTCTGCATTTCAGGAGCAGCTGGTAAGCAAAGGGGAGGGAAACTATGTATTTCATCCCAAGGGACAAGTTCTAATTGAAGTAGGCTATTGAGATCCGCATTCCAGCGGTGGGAAGGACCAGAGGTTTAAAGGCGAGACCTATAACATCAGCAGCTATTACTATGAGCAACTAAGCTATGTTGTTGTTGTTGTTGTTGTTAATTGCCATTAAGTCAACCTCAACTTATGGCAACACCATGAATGTGAGCTCTCCATGAATGTGAGCTGTTATCAACAGCTTTGCTCAGGTCTTGCAAACTCTGGGCAATGGGATGCATCTACACTGTAGAATTATTGCAGTTTGATGCCACTTTAATCACCATAATGCTATGGAATCCTGGGGGGTTGTAGTTGTACAAGGTGTTTTGCTTTCTCTGCCAAATATGCAGGTCAAGAATAGGCTCCACAGTCACCTACAGATTCACAAGAATACTGATCCTGGAAGACTATCCTACTCGTCCAATTAGGGGTCACCTAAGTAAGTAAGTAAGTAAGTAAGTAAGTAAGTAAGTAAGTGTTGGAGGCTCACCAAACTACAACTCCCAGGATTCCATGGCATTCAGCCATGGCCATTTAAGGTGGTGATGAACTGCACCAATTCTACAGTGTAGATGCACCCATTGTTTACTTAATTGAATATATCCACCTGTAAACTAAGCTTAAGAGATGTGCTTCACCCTTTTAGAATAGATGGGTCATAGAAAGGACACTACATAAAAGCTAGGAAGCCACCCAATAGTAGCATCATGAGGAAGAGATATGTGTCCATCCAACTATTGTCTAGCTGAACACCCTACCAGGCCAGATTGGGATCCCAGGAATAATGGATATAGCCTATGCTTCTCCACTCTGATAGTCTAGAATTCAACAAGACATCCACCCAGCCACTTAGTATTGAGTCAAAACAGAGGTCTGTCTAAACCAGTAGTTCTCAACCTGTTGGTCCCCAGGTGTTTTGGCCTATAACTCCCAGAAATCCCAGCCAGTTTACCAGCTCCTAGGAGTTGAAGGCCAAAACATCTAGGGATCCACGGGTTGAGAACTACCACTCTAAACCAATCTTGCCAACTTTGACAGCAATGGTTCTCTATAGTTTCAGACTTACCTGGAGATTTCTGGTTTCTGACCCAGTTACTAAACCAGGACAGAATCACCACAGCTTCCAATATTAGGTTTGGATGTACACTGGGTGGTGTGATGGAAATGTAGGTTCAATGCTATATGAGGCTTAGGGCCAATTTCTGCCCACTGACATTTGCAGATTTCTTCTCAATCTAAGTAATTTGTTTCTTCTGTCAAGAAGACATGGGTAAATATTTACTCTGTTTCTCTGGTTCCTGCATCTGATCTCAAACTCTGCCTGGTTTTGATAGCACTCAGGGGTCTTGGTTCTGAACATCTTGGATCACATACAAGACTATGGAAAAAGTTACAATCTGGACAGTTCCAAAAACCCCTCCAATCTCCATTACTAGTTGTAGTTTCTAAAAGTAACTTTTAAAGCTTCAGATCCATTCTGTCTAATAGCCCTCTTGGAATGGAGAGTCTAGAGCTCAACTTTTACTATTTTACTAAGTAAGAGTTGGTTCTGGACTGAGCTCAAGCAAGCACTATTGCATCCACTCAGGTTTCTGGAAGTGTAGTTTGCCCCTTCCACACTAACCCCTTTGAAAGGAAGGAAGAGAGAAAGAGAAGGATATAGAAGGAAGGAAGGAAGGAAAAAAGGAAGGAAGGAAGGAAGGAAGGAAGGAAGGAAGGAAGGAAGGAAGGAAGGAAGGAAGGAAGGAAGATGCATTTATTTTGGCTCTTGCCCTGTCTACCACTGGTGCAACATCCCATTGCAATCTGCTCTGAAACAACTTGGCCCTCAATAGAAAAAGAAGTTTCCCCTGCCTGTTGTATAATGTGCCACAATCCACCACAATGACATGTATAGACCACCAGGTTTTGTGCATGCAATCACTTAATGCTGAGTCATCCAAGCCATTCATATAGTATTATTCACACATCATCAGTTCAAGGGCAAGAGAGATGGTAACTGAACCAGGACTTGACAGGGTCTGAAGCTGCATTTTCAGCCCTAAGACACATATGTATGTCATTCCTCTGTTCAGATATGGGCTTTGTATTCTCCTAAATACAACAGGATACACAACTGACAATATCAATATCCCGAAACAAAATAGAAAAATGTAAGCTCATCACTCTTAAAGTTCTGAATCTTGTGAACAGATCCGTGCTTTGGTTGCAAAATGTACCCAAAAATAAAGAAAGAAAAACCTTGCAGTGTATATCTCAATGCTATTATTCACAGTTTATATCTTGGTCCAAGTTTGGTTTTCTATGAGAATGAAACTTTGAACCCAGTGGTTTCAAATTCAGGTGCTACAAAAATGGAAATCTTTCCATTATAGTATATGTATACATGGAGGATACATTCTCAGACTTTGTGTGGATATGCAAAACTGTGGATAACAGCGAATCCAATTGAAATGAAGACCTTCTGATCCAGGAATATCATGCTGGGAACCTAGATAAATGCTCAGAGAAGACATATTTTGTTGGATATGGATCAATGAAATGGCAGTGATGGAGGTCACACTGTATTTTTTTTTGCCCCACTGATGTACTGACACTAAATTGCACCATTGGGCAAGTACTGATGTCTGCTGCAAAGCCATGAAAACATGCAAAATTAAAAAATTGGTTTTACCCCCCAAATAATCCCCATACATTCTTGAGGAGCATTGATGCATTTTGACTTATTTTAGGCCCAGGAGAACAGAAAGCGAACCAGAAGGCTTCTTCTGGGCATAAAATAGTAACAGCACAACAAGATCTATCCAATGAGTCCTCTATCCACTAAGCTGTTGACAGAACATAAAGAGTTCCCCTTTGATTCAGTCTTCATTTAACACAGTACAGTCCACTCTGGCTCTTCATTATTTCCTGCAGAGGTTATTTTCCACTTTGTTCTCCTTTGGTCAGATCTCACCTGGATTACCATGCTATTCTGGGCACCACAATTCAAGAAGAATATGGGCAAATTGGGAGGGCGACCAGAATGATCAAAGATTTGCAAGCCAACCCCTACGAGGAGCAACTTAGGGAGCTACTCCCTGACAGATGGCCATCCAGCCTTTGTCCAAAAGCTTCCAAAAGGAGGTGTCTCCACCACACTCCGGGACAGAGAGTTCCACTGTCTCTCTCATAGTTAGGAAGTTCTTCCTTAATGTTCAGGTAGAATCTCCTTTCCTGTAGTTTGAAGCCATTGTACTATGTCCTAGTCTCCAGGTTAGCAGAAAACAAGCTTGCTCCCTCCTCCCTATGACTTCCCCTCACATATTTATACATGGCTCATCATGTCTCCTTTCAGCCTTCTCTTCTGCGGGCTAAACATGTCTAGCTCTTTAAGCCACTCCTCATAGGGCTTAAAGACCCTTGATCATTTTAGTCACCCTCCTCTGGACACATTCCAGCTTGCCAACACCTTCCTTGAATTGCTGTGCCCAGAATTAGACAGTTTTTCAGGTGTGGTCTGACCGAGATTACAACAAGGTATTCAAACTATAGGAAAAGAGTGTCCACCTAAACATTAGGAAAACTTCATGATGATAAGCCAGGCATGGGCAAACTTGGGCCCTCCAGGTGTTTCGGACTTCAACTCCCACAATTCCTAACAACCTCAGGTCCCTTAGGATTGGGAGTTGAGTCCAAAACACCTGGAGGGCCCAAGTTTGCCCATACCTGTGATAAGTGCTGTTTGACAGTAGATTATGTTGTCTGGGAGTGTGGTGGATTCTCTTTCTCTGGAGGTTTCCAAGCAGAGATAGAATGACCATCTGTTGAGAGTGCCTTATTGACTGTGTCTTCCCTCAGGACAGAATGGGCTTGGACCGGAGTGTCCTTGTGGACTTTTCCAATTCTCCAATTCTTTGAATTAGTAACTGAACTTTTCTAACTAAAGTTGAGAGAATGAAGGCAGAACCTTCTCCATGCAAAGCATGCAACTCTGGAACCAGCCCTAGCATGAGGTAAAGCAAGGCATCCATATCAAGCAGCAATGTAGGTGTCATGAGAAGTCAGCAAATCAATAGTTAGACCATTTTGTGAGTGTTGCACTGTCAGAGCTCAGGAAGAAAAACTTATGTACTTTAGATGTCGGAGTAATTTAGATAGTTTTGGGTACTATGTCTTAACTTGCTTAGCTGATAGTGTTGTTTATTATTGTGTCCCAGGCAGCAAGATAAGTTGGGCTAACCTTGCATATCTCTCACTGGGCTATGGCTTCTCCCTCAATAACAACAAATTGACCATGAGCTACAGGCTGGGAGTTCCCAATCAATCATAAACTCATTGTGAGTCAAATGCAGAATTAGAATTCGAAAGGGCAACTTTTCCAAGCTCTGGAGACCATCTCTCAGCTCCATGTTCAATTTGTAACACAGATGCTACACTGACCTGTGTTACAAATGTCATGGCAATAAGATTGAAAACTTATGGGAAATGGTCATCCCAAATGTGGATTGCAATGTTATTAAGAAATAGGGTTTCTGGCTATCTGATGGAGGACTCCTCAAAGCTTCCTGGCTCTCAAGACAGAAGTTATTTGACTCTTCTCAGTAAAATTACAAGTGCAGCATTTTGTGTGTTAAATTCTCTGCACTGGAGGCTGATGTCTGACACATGCTCCCGAAAGGGAAAAGGCAAGGTTGTTAAGGCAGCGGAAGAATCCCCACATTTCAGTCACACCCCAGGACTCCTTTTAGGTTTACTTTCAAGGCCTCAAAGGGGGATCTTGGTTTGTGCTTGCCCTTAACGTGAAGGCATCTCAGCAGCATTGGACAAGAAGCCAACATATTCTCTGTGTGTGATCACATCTTGGCTGTTATTCATCATTGGATAAGTAATGCCTAAAAATGGAAGATTTTTTTGGGAAGGAGATCACCAAAACCTTTGTTTGTTTCTTTTGTTTTACCATCTTTCTTTATGGTACACTTCTGTTTGTACAATCTCATTTGGGTGTTCAGCTAGACATGCACCATTGATATCCTTGAGCTTGTTGTCAGGAAGGTCCTCAGGCTTCGTGCAAAGTTTCAGCGCCCTGGAAATGAAGACGTCCAAATCGAACTGAGGGTCACTTTTGCTGTCAACTTCCTTGGATTCTCTTTGGAGATGGTGAGGTGAAGACGGCAAACTCCGTTCCTGGATCTCTGGGACAGTATTGGGGCAATCGAGTCCCGTCTGTGTACTCGTCACCCACTGGGCAATCTCCAAGAAAAGGTTAGACGGTTCCTCTTCCAAAGCTAACTCTGCTGTGGGTGCAATTGATGCCCTTTTCCAGTGTGACAAGTCCAAGATGAGTTTAGGCTCCGAGTAATGATGAAGCTTGCTGTCCCGCCATAGCAGCTTGTCTAAGTAGGAAGGTGATCCCACTTTGTAATCACACGATCCGCCGTAATCCCCTTCAAAGGCTCGGTCCATGGAGGAATGGGACTGCTCCAGGAATCTCTCTGAGCTGCTCTGGGAGTATTTGCGGGGATCCACTTGGGCTTCCTCAGCAATGGATCCCGATCCGGCTCGAGGATCACGTTGCACCTCTTCCAAATCCTGACACTTCTCCTGTCTCCATTCCACATCCGAAGACAAGCTCACTTGATACCTACAGGTTTGAAATGACAACAGAATTGAAAATACAGGTGGTCAGTTGAAACATTCACACCTAGCTCCAGCAGACAAGAGTCCTTTGTCCCACCCTGGTCATTCCACAGATATATAAACCCTTTTTCCTAGTTCTGACAGACCTCACTACCTCCGAGGATGCTTGCCATAGATGCAGGTGAAACATCAGGAGAGAATTCCTCTAGATCATGGCCATATAGCCCGAAAAACCCTACAACAACCCATTAACAGTAATCAATCATGGAGGTAACTTGACATCACACAACAACAACAATGGTGGATCAAAAGTCAAAACATACACAATGATCTAATCTGGTGCTTAAAGAATATATGATTTGGACATAGTTTTAACTGTATTTTAATATTTATATGCTCCATGAAACAAATGATTCAATTGCTTTTTAATGTTTATATTTATATTTAATGCATTTGCTCTGTTTTAATTGAATTGTGTCATGCTTGTTATTAGCTATCTTGAATCCCTTTACCAGGAGAAAGGTGGGATAAAAATTAAGTAAATAAATAAATTGAAATGAAAAGACATAGCTGTGGTACACTGGAAATATTGCCCAACAATTCCTTTGGCTTCTGAAAGTTTGCTGTAAATTTTCAACCAAATCTTAATGTCTATAAAGGATTGCAGTCACCGCTCCACATTTCTGCTTTGACTTTTGTGGATTATATTATGGATAAGCAATGGGAGTTTCAGCGAAATGCCCTTGCTCTCGCTTTCTGTTTGTTTACAGAATTCTGATACAAACTCAACTTCACAAATAAATATACCTTTCCCAGTTGGACATCTGGCTTTGGTTGGCTTCCATCAGCAAAATATCATCAATCTCATCCTCAATGCGGAAAGGATGTTGAGAAACAGGCTCATCCTCCGGGCAGTAATACGGGCTCATATAAGGATGCTGCAGACCCATCTCAGTGGTCAGCCTGTCCATGGGATTGAATGTCAGGATCTTCTCCAGAAAATCGATGGCTGCAAAAGTGGCAGAGAAATAATCAGGCCAGCTGCACAGAGGCAAGACCAGCTCTGTTTCCTAAATGGGATGTTTCATGGGACTATTATAGGCACGATAAGAACACCGTATGAAATCAGATGACTTAACCTTTAAAGCTCTACTTCTATTTAATTACGGGTGGTAATTGTCCTTGATTCAAAAGTAGAACTCTAATTATACTTAATGAGGATGATGTGTCTGCTTCGGAAGGATATGGAGGCCTGCAGACGTTAGCACTCTTAAAAATAGGGCAGGACCCACAGTAGAAATAGCTAACAGGGCCAGTGAGTGTAATCCAATATATGCTTCCTCAGAAATAAACTCCACTATTTTCTATGGAGCATACTCCCAAGTATATGAGGCTTTTAAACAGAGGCCGGATGGCCATCTGTCAGGGGTATTTGATTGTGCTGTTCCTGCATGGTAGGAGGTTGGACTAGATGGCCCAGGGGGGTCTCTTCCAACTATGATTCTACATGTGAGTGTGTGTTATTCATACAATCCTATGCACTCTTGTCTGTGCCTTCCAGTTGTATGTAGACTTATGATGACCCTATCAATTTCATAAGCAAGGAACACTCAAGAGATGGTTCTTGTGGGTTTTTTCGGGCTATAGGGCCATGTTCTAGAGGCATTTCTCCTGACGTTTCGCCTGAAATGCCTCTAGAACATGGCCCTATAGCCCGAAAAAACCCACAAGAACCTAGTGATTCCAGCCATGAAAGCCTTCGACAATACACTCAAGAGATGGTTTTGCCAGGTCCTTTCTCTGACAGTCTACAGCACCAGGCATTTGTTGGTCTTTCATCCAAGTCCTTACTAGTGCTCCTCCTGCCTAGCTTGCAACATTAGATGGGTTCTGGTGCCTTTAGGACATCTTGGCAACTCAATTATAAGGGGCTTGCTTCTAGGTAGGTGGGGTTAGTGCTCAAACTTATGGCTTTGTCTACACCAGCCACTTATTCCAGGACCAGTCCGGAGCATCATGATTCAGACTGACCACAGATTGATTGTGATGGTAGTCAGACACATCAGGCTGAACCCCTTTTGGTCCTATTTTTGTGCCCAAACACGCTGAGGCTACATTGGCTCCACTATCCATTTCCTTGTCATCTATGTCCCCATCACCATTCTTCACTGGTCACTGAGCTCCCTGAGAATGCTTGGTTGTTGTGGTTGTGTCTTCTGAGGCCATAATGGATACCCATGAGATCAGTAAGGAATGGTTTGAGTGAAAGAGAATGAGCTGTTCTAGCTCGGGTGTGGGCAAACTTTGGCTTTCCTCCAGGTGTTTTGGACTTCAACTTCCACAATTCCTAATAATTGGAAGGCTGCTAGGAATTATGGGAATTGAAGTCCAAAACACCTGGTAGATCAAAGTTTGCCCATGCCTGAGCTAGCTTTTCTTTGCTGATCAGTGCAGGGAAAAGGATAAGACAGCTGTATCCATATGGACAACAAACCAGGCTAAATGGAGTCAGTCCTTCTGCTGATATGGCCTCAAAGCTTACAGATACTCCAGAGTTTCCTGCAAAGTCAGGTTAAGGGCGAAAAACCAAAATACTTACCAGACATTCCTGTATGCAGTGAATTGTGCCAGCGTTCGATTTGGACAGAGTATTGTTTGCTTATTTGTTTTTTGTGTAGACATGACCTTAGGGAAGAAATCCTCTGTGCTTCTTTTCTCTCTTTGGATGGCAGGAAAAGCCCTTTTTGTTTAAGCAGGCTTTTAATGCGTACACAGAGAAGCATCTTATTGGGATGTGTGCTTATCTTTTGCTTTAACTTTTGTATATCTTTTAAATGATTTTGTACAGTGAGATGTGGTGATTCTTTAATTAATATTTTTCTTGTTTTAAATGCTGATTGGGGCTTTGGGATACTAAAGTCCAAAACACGCTGAGGGCCAAAGTTCCATTATATTGGTGAGCATAAGAAACACGGTCTTTTTGTGGTGGCCCCATCCTTGTGAAAAGCATTGTGACAGGACTGAACAAAGTTATACTCCGTAACAAAACTTGAAAAAAATATGTTCCTGGTTTGAATGTATTATGTCGTGTGTAATTGTGTGTTACAGCAGAGTTTCGCTTATCCAACCTTCACTCATCCAGCATCCAGGAGTCTGCCTCCCATCCAGATCCACAGCTGTTTCAATACATTGTGATATTTTGATACTAAATTTGTAAATACAGTAATTACTACATAACATTACCATGTATTGAACTGCTTTTTCTATCAATTTGTGTAAAACACGATGCTTTGGTGCCTAATTTGTAAAATCATAATGTTATTTGACGTTTAATAGGCTTTTCCTTAATCCTTCCTTATTATCCAACATTTCTGTCTATCCAACGTTCTGCCGGCCCGTTTATGTTGGATAAACGAGACTCTACTGTAATTGTTCTACTCCAGAAACTTTGTCTTTGTGGCTCCCACAAACTATATTGAATTAGCTGAGACTCTATGTGATATTAATTGAAAAACTATAACAAAATGTGCTGCAGGATGTTGCACAAAAACAAAGTTTCTGCAGTTTAATAAACTTTTTTGTGTTTTTATGACAGAACCAATTAGGAAATGACATTTATAACACGGGGATTAGAATGTGCTTCTTTAACATACACAAACAACAGAGGGCTGGAGACAAAATATTAAACTGATACCCAGGAATTATCTAATCTAATTTACAGTGAGTTTGAAGCATATGCATTCAATATTTTTCAGCAGAAAAACCTATCCTTGAGTGCCATCAGATACAGAACGCAATGTACCTTGGCTGTTCATTTCTGGAAAAAGCTTCCTCAAGGGCTTCTTCACCTCCCAGGTGCTGTTGACAAACGTCGGCATGACTTTGAGCAGCTCTTCTTTGTCCTCTTCATGGAAAACAGGGATGGTCTCCAAAATGAGCTGCATCTGTTCCAGTTCATGGCTTCCTAAACAAGCAAAGATGATGGTGTTCACTTCTGTTGTGACCTACCGAGCCTAAAACCATGCATTTCATATGTGTATATCCTCATCATGGATCAGCCCCTGGTGGCGCAGTGGGTTAAACCCCTGTGCCGGCAGGACTGAAGACCGACGGGTCGCAAGTTCAAATCCGGGGAGAGGCGGATGAGCTCCCTCTGTCAGCTCTAGCTCCTCATGCGGGGACATGAGGGAAGCCTCCCACAAGGATGATAAAAACATCAAATCATCTGGGCGTCCCCTGGGCAACGTCCTTGCAGACAGCCAATTCTCTCACACCAGAAGCGACTTGCAGTTTCTCAAGTCGCTCCTGACACGACAAAAAAAAATGGATCAGCTGAAGATGAGTGAAAGAGTAATCTCAAATGAAACATGAAAAGAATGTTGGCATCTCAAAGTATGGTTGGGGGTTTGTAACTTAGTCCTCAAATATATAATAATGGAGAAATGTTTTGGGGAAAAGATGCAATAATGTTAAGCAATAGTGCAGTCACTTATACATCCCCAAACAAGAGTTGGAAAGATGAGGCAATTTTGCTGGGAAACTGTGTTAATCTAATTTCTCCAGATGCACATTTAGAAATAATTATGTAATTATGAAACATATGTACAATCCATCTTCTGCTTGAATTCCCCAAAAGGCACTAATCCCATCCCAGGATTCTTTAGGTAGATGTCAAGAGATTTAGTATTTATTTATTTATTTTTATTTATTTACCTTATTTATATCTCACCTTTCTCTACCCTGAAGGGGACTCAAGGCAGCTTACAAGTGGCACTAACATAATACTGCACAAAAATGATAAATAGTTGCAGTGCATAGCAGACAATAAAAGTCTGTGCGCTTACATTGTTCAAAATGCCTATACATACCACTAGGTGGAAGACAGTGATAACAACTGTCTGTGCTCATGATAAATCACCGGCAAAGTCATCCACCCTAATCTATCCTTCAAAGAATTAAACTTTTCTACGAGTTTGGTGAATGTCTTGTTTAATAGGATGCTTCCCATTATAAATGGCAGATGACCCAGGAGAAGATCCAACACTGTCAAGTATCACAGCAGAGTCCTCCAAGCAGAACTCTGCCACAGCTCACAATACATCAAGTCCAAGAATCCACAAATTTGCCTTGGGCTACAGTCAAAAAACTGTGAGTCCAGGTGGCAGAGGAGTTTGGTCATTGCAGAGGATGGATATGAATGCCAAACTCCAGAACAATTAAAATGCACATATAAGCATAAGGAAGACAGCCAGTGGATGTAATAGTTTGAATGCTGGACTAAACTAGTAACTGATCAGACTCGAGATAGGCCCTGCTCTCGGTCCCACCGCCTTCGCAATCGCGTCTGGTGGGGATGAGGGACAGGGCCTTCTCAGTGGTGGCCCCTCGGCTCTGGAACTCTCTCCCGTTGGAGATTAGATCTGCCTCTTCCCTCCTGACTTTCAGAAAGCTGGTAAAAACCTGGCTTTGGAATATAGCATTTGCAGAACGATGATCAAGTCAATAACGGCTGACCACACCAGCGGATGGTGATGAATTTGTGATTTTATTCTAACGACCTGGCTTTTGTAATTGTATGATATTGTATGATCTGTATTTTAATGTATTTTGTATTAATGTTTTATGATGCTATTATGTTTACTATATTTGTCTTGAATTTTCTGCTGTTTAGCCGGCCTGAGTCCCTCTTCGGAGGTCGAGAAGACCGGGTTATAAAAGCTCTAAATAAATAATAATAAATAACTAGTGGCTGGAGACAAATTGATAATATTTCTCTCTGGACTCTAATATTTCAGCCCAGGGTCACATTAAAAGTGAGGTTAACTGAATGGAAACAATTTGCAGGTATTTTTTAAAATAAAATAAACAGCCACTGTGGAGAAGGGAATATCATGATTAGCACCCTGTTTTTCACCCAGACTACAATTTCAAACTCATCTTCTCCAGTTTTCAGGTCAAGGTGAAGGGGAAGGCATCATAGTGCCCGTCTAGACAGTATTTTTATCCCAGGAGCTTTCACAGCAATGAGGAAGCAATTGCTACAAAAACAAGGAAACAGTTCCTACAAAACAAGGAAGCAATTTATTGTCGAAGGCTTTCATGGTCGGAATCACTGGGTTGTTGTAGGTTTTTTCGGGCTATATGGCCATGGTCTAGAGGCATTCTCTCCTGACGTTTCGCCTGCATCTATGGCAAGCATCCTCAGAGCTAGTGAGGTCTGTTGGAACTAGGAAAAACGGTTTATATATCTGTGGAATGACCCGGGTGAGACAAAGGACTCTTGTCTGCTGGAGCTAGGTGTGAATGTTTCAACTGACCACCTTGATTAGCATATAATGGCCGGACAGTGCCTAGAGCAAACTTTTGTTGAAAGGTGATTAGATGTCCTTGTTTCCTTCCTCTCAGCACAACAACAGAGAGGAAAAAAACAAGGACATTTTCTCTGGCCAGGACAAAGTTGTGGCCCCCTAGTCAACGTTGTACATCGTTTCACAAGAAGAGCAATCAGGAACGGTCATGTATAACCCAGGAACAGCAGCCTGTTGTTTGATGCCACAAGTACACAACCAAATCTGTCTGGACCGATGGCCTTGGCAGCCAGCCTCTAAAAAGTGTCAATAATGACAACGTTTTTTTCCTGTCTTGAAAGTGTGTGTTCCTGTTTGAGTGTGCAGTACTGACTTGGCCAGAAGTGGTCCTACCCCGTAAACTTTGTTTGTGTGGCAGATACTTCACGAAACGTCTGGAGGGCACAGTTTCCCTGTCCAGGACAAAGAATGGAACTTTTGCAGTGATTTGCTGCAGTGATTCTCTGCATATCCGCATATCCACAGAAATTTCCGGCGGAAGTCCTGTGGCATTATGCCTGGCCAACGGAGGCAGAAATCCTGGGACCAGCAGGTCTCTATGTGCACCTCTTCTGAAGTCCTGGGATTTTTGCCTCTGTTTAAAACTCGTGATTTAGTGCTGTCTGGAAGCGCCCTCAGAGTGAGAGCACTGCTTTGAAAGGAGTGCATGCATTTATATACAGTGTATTTTTTCACTTAAGAGATTATACTTTTCCTCTTAATGACATACTTTGTGAAATGGTGGTTTCTACTTAATGTATCATGTTTAATGACTTCACCAGTGTTTGATCCCTAGACTATTACAAGAGATGATACCTAGGTCTCAGATTTTGGCCTTGAAACCTCAGTGCCTGACATAGTCTTGAGCTGGCAACCTTACGACGCAAACATCTCAAATGGGAAATCCTATGATAATTCCCTGTTCCTTAAATCAAGATTTCTATGTTCCTTCAAATGGTCTTTACTTGATAGGGACATGCCTACTTAATTATCTGCCATATCCCTCTTCTTTAGTTTCTCTCAAAATGTCCCAATTTGGCCACACATTTTACACTTTTCATCCATGAAATGTTGGGAGGTGTCTCCTTACAAAGAAAGGCACCATTCTGACTCTACGAGGGTTGAATGAAAAGTAGTGCCTCCACCTTCGTTACTTGAGTTTGGATGGGAATATTTTAATAAATCAAATGCAGAAATAATCCTTAGATTATTTAACAACCACTATTCACTTTTCCACATAATCACCAGAAAATTGGATACATTTCTGCCAATGATGAGCAAGTTTTCTGAAGCTGTCACAGAAGAAGTTGACACTCTGTTTCTGCAACCAGCATCTCATAGTTCTCTCAACATCTTCATCAAAAGCATAATGATGTCCCTGCAGATCTTCTTTCATTATTAGGAACAGATGGAAGTCAGGGGGTGCTAAATCAGGACTGTATGGGGGATGTCGTATGGTGGTGAGATCCAGTCTCTGATGTTTCAAGTCTGTGCACTTTCATTTTAGGCGTCAGCATCCTAGGTACCCATCATGCACAGATCTTCCAATAGCCAAGCAAAGCAATAATGTGACCCACACGTTCTTGTGAAATACTTGAAATTTCTCACTGAGTGATACGACGATTGTTCTGAATCAATCTGTCAACCTTTTGCTTGTGAAACTCGGTGGTTGCTGTCACAGGACGTCCAACTCTTTGTCACGCAAGTCAGATGTTCCCACCTCAACATCTTTAAACTTACTTGCCCTATGATGCACAGTACTCATATCAACACAATCACCATAAACAGCTTGCATTCTCTGATAAATTTCCTTTCTGCTGTCAAGAATTCAATGACTGCACGTTGCTTAAGTCGCATTGACCGACTGTCTGTGCAGGGTTCGATACTTCGCACTTTAACAACATAACCATTCAATGCGAAGGCTTCCCACCAAAATGGAACTGTAGAGGAGAGTCTACTGAACAAGCCAGTACCTGCCGCATACCAGTACTGCCATCTGCTGAGGAGTTACAAAGGTGGAGGCATTACTTTTCATTCAACCCTCGTAGTTTTATAAAAGACTCACAAAAAAGGGTTGTTAAAAGATGAGAAAAACAGAGATGATGATGCTGAGCAGGTCATCTATACATGCTCTTCCCCAAACTTTTGGAATTAGCTCCCGACACAAACCATCCAAAATCAACACTTGAGGACAAAAGTAAGGTGAGAGGATTTCATTAGGCTATGCAACTTACTTTCCTCCAAAGGCCCATTAGCTAAAAATGTCCAAGTCAGACAGTCAGTATAACTACCACAATACTCTTTTGTTTTTGCTTTGTTGGAATCTCATTAATGCTGTCTAAATAATTGACCAACTCATATCTTTGTTCATGATTATTTTAGCAGCTGCAATGTCCTGCTTCTAATAGCTGCCCAGGAACCAGATGGAGGCTTCATCTCTTGGAATTGCATCCACACTCCCAAATGCTGAATCTGCGAGGAAAGAAAGAAACTACCCTGGGTTGCATTTTGGGAGAACTGAAGCATGAAAAAGCTATTGAGCTTGATTATCTCCTAGTCCCAAGACCTTTCACTTCAGGAGGTTAAAGCTGCTTTAATAAAATAGGATCATTCTCCT